GATGTAGGAGGTTCTCCCTGTATACATCTCAAGGGTTCATTTTCAGATTCATCTTGGGTGTACCCTTAAAACCCAACTCCAGGATATTACCATCCTTCCAACTCCCCCCACCCCCCACTCCCCCACTGCTACCCCTTCTAACTGACTGCTGGTATGATGGTATAAAAAAAAAAACCCAAAAAAACCTATCAAAATGCCCATTTTACTTACCTGGTGCCTTGGTGGTTGTGACATGACATTCCTCCTATCTTCTTCTGTGTACTTCCTGAGGTCCTTCTTCAGGTAAGGATATCACTACCTACATGTCGTAGACACCTTCCAGCAAACAGGTCTTTTCTAATAAGCGCCAGAGGCAGAAGAACTCATAGGGGTGGTGAGGGGATAAGTGTCCAAGAAGATAACGATCAGGAAAAAAATGCTTGGTGACCAGGGGAGGAAATTAGCTTGACCCATCGAGGAAATTGTGACTTTTATCTATTACACTGCTGGATGGCTAATGAAGAGGTGTTTGGAATCAAGACAGAAGAGTAAGGTAATTGATGCTTGATGCACTATTCAAGTTTCATTTTTTCCTGGAGTTGGACTTTAGATATACAGGCAAGCAGGACCTTTCATCTAAGTGAATCATTACAACCCTGCCAAGACTTTTTTTATTAATTTTCCCAATGTGGGTTGTAGGATAGATGGCTAGTCTAAACATGTATTTTCAGAGCCACCCAGTAGGGAAACATATCAACAAACCTAGGGAATCCAAAAAATGGATGCCAAGATTAAAATAAATTCACTCACTGGGTTTCTACAGTCACTAAATTTAAATTCTCATGTTGGATTACGGTGTCAAATTATGAAACCATCAGCATAAATGAAACGTTATTTCAATGTTACTATTACTAGTCTGACAAAATTACACTAATCCACCTTTACATTTCTAGCATCTTCATGATATTGAAACCATTACTTAGATCAGGATCTTCCTGATTAATAATAGTTCTTCAACATCTCTTGCTGGCAACAGCCTATAAGGGTATGTAACTACAGGCATTATTTAGGAAAGTAATATATCTTTTAAGATGAAATAGCAATACAGTTGTCAGTTTGTTAAATTACAGCTTTAACAGTAAGAAAACAGTAATATCCAAGATGTTTTGATCTAGTGTGCTTTCTATGGTACGAGTGCCAGGCAGAACACCGTCAGGAATACAAGTCCCTGGAGCAGGAAAGCACAACTCATACTTGTTTTTATTACTCAAGGGACTGCAGCTTTCCACAATATGTTGCTGCTTGGTTGTTCTGGTTCTGAGAACAAATAATAATTGTGAAGTGAATCTCATGTAACAAAATATTGAATTCTAATGAAACATTCCATCCAGTGTGTTCTTTGACCTTTGACTCTTTTTTTTAGGTGCGTTGAAGCTTCAGGATAAGTTTCAAATTACCGAGAGATTGTTGTAATCTCCATTTTTTTCCAAGCGTCTAGCTTTCTAGCCTCATTTATTTCCCCAGACACCTTAACTACTAAATGTCAACGCAAGAAGGATACACACAGAGAAGAAATACCTTAAAATTCCAGCATGTAATCGTTTTGTTAAAATTGTGTTATATGGTTAGGTTCCAAGCTTTTTACCCACTGTTGTATTTTTCTGCTCAATGTAAGTATAGTCCTGGTACCAGCTAGACATTTAATCAGCTATTCTAAACCCATTGAGTATCTTTGTGATATATATATATATATATATATATATATAGATAGATAGATAGATAGATAGATAGATAGATAGATAGATATACATACTAGTTGTGCAATACTGACTATACAGATTTCAGAAATGGAAGAAATACAAATCCTTGTATGTATCTAATCAGTGTATTTAGCTGTTTGCCTGGAATTCAGTTTTAATATCCTAATGGTTGTTTTTTTGCAGGTTATATCTGAGCTGTTGGTGTATTAACAACTGGCAGACTTCCAAAGGTTTTTGACCTTTTCAAAGGGTTTGTGCTCTGGTTTTTATGAGAAAGTAACATGTTCAATGGGTTGAGGCAGATGTAGAGGCTAAGCCTTTTAAACTTACAAATCAAAGATGATTGCACATGCCACCAGCTGTGATATAGGTTGTTTTCAATGTATTGTGCTTACCTTTTTTCTTTGTTCAAATGATCATTGCCCACATTTAATATTTCACACACAAAGCATTTATCTGATTTTCTCTCTTTTTAAGGGAGCCATTCATGACAATCTTTAAAAGAGACCTCCAAAATATAACAATTCATTAAAGCCAAATTCAAGGCAAAATTCCTATTCTCGTTGATCTCAAATATACTGTCCATATATACTATAGCCTATATTCTCTGAAATAGGTTGGCACCGAGGTTTTGTAATAAAATTCAAAAGTTCTTTAAAGGCAGCAAAGCCCATAGCGGCATACTACAGGATCCATTACAGAGATATAATACAAAGTTTCACATCTCTCATAGATCCTTTATCAATCATATAAAACTCAATGCTTAGAAAAGGACCTGGGAGGTATCTGAAACATAGCATCATTATCTGTGTAATGAAGCATGTTACATACTGGTATGAACACTGCTGCTTTTAACATGTTCTAATAAAATGTACAAAAAAAAAATTAATTCCAATACCTCGGGGCTAGGTAGAAGAGAATAGAGGCAAGAGGAGTATGCGCTTTCAAGGCTGCTTTTTTCATCACATCCATTTATACAGCTGTCTTACCATTATAGCTGCAAATGTTGTTGATGTCAATATCTTGGCCAGGGGCGGACTGACCATTTGGAAACTCGGGCACTGCTCGAGGGCCCGGGGTCAGTAGGGGACCCCATGAGATGCCGCTGGTACATTTTTAATAGGCTTTTTTGAGTTCGGGCAAGGACACAGGGGCCCCATGATCCCCTATTGCCCGGGGGCCCCATGAATTGTCAGTCCTCCCCTGATCTTGGCAATGCTGCTTGCTCATTTGGGGGACTACGCAGAGAAAAGACTACTAGGTTTACCTTCATTATTTAATTCTTTCCTAGAAGCCTGTTGATTGGACAATAAAGGAGCAGCAGTACATTGAAGACATAATCCTTCATAGTCACTTTTGTTCACAAAGTTCGCAGTAGTACACTAACACATGATCTAATGTTTAAAGAATTACACTGACAACAATGTGAAGAGCAACAGAGTGCTGATTAGCTCTGAGTGCAGATCTTCAATTCCTAAGGTTAGCCATAGATTTATTGATTATCTTTCCTTTCACTCTGAGTGGCGGCACAGCGCTATTTTATTCTGCCAATGGGGAGTCTCCATGCCTGCAGAAAACAGTGATTACTGCTAGCGGCTATAGCTGCGGACTGTAATCAAATGCTAAAAATCTCACAGGCTGCTTGCAGTCACGTCGTGTGCGTTGACAGTTCCCGGGGCAAGGCAAGTAATTTATGCCCCTAATCTGTGGATTTTTAGCACTCCCTGAGTCCCTTCCACTAGTACCGTATTAATCTGTGGTTGTGGAAAAATGCAAAGGGTTCCTTCGCTCACAGCCTCAGCCTCTGATTGGCTGCCTGCATCCTTTTGTTTTATTATTGGTTGGATACAGTAGTCAAAGAGATATCATTTCAAATTCAACCAAAAAAAAAGACTGTGGACAGCCAATCATAGGCTCAGGCTGTAAATAACGAGGATCCCTTATATATAGCAGAGCAGGCAGCCAATAATAACCCCAACATTAGATAGGAGGAATTAAAGAAGAGACACCCGGGGATGGGAGAAGGGGAGGGTGTCCCCTTCTTTCTTTATTTTTTTATCCCCTCACCTGGAGCCATGGGGTCTACGGAACTTAGGATGTGAATGGAGAGGACTATAATTTCCAGTGGAAATATTAACAATATCATTAAACAAATTAAAGTGGTAATCACCCCAAAGCTAAAAATGTAATATATTACAGCTTACCAATCATGGCTGCATTCCTTTTCTGCTTTTAGGCTTTTTATCTTCTGTTTTCACCTGATGAGCTGGTCAGTAACATACTTCCTGTACTAGAACACCTACATACTGGATGAAGGAGCAACAGAGACACCTTTGGACAGCAGTCTGGGGGGCAGAGAGGTGGTGGTGGTGGTGGTTGGGGGGTGGTGTTAGATGGACTAGCAGATTTAGGTACACTAAAAATTGTAGCCACAGTCCAGCTAATACTTTATAAGCAATTACAGCAAACATGAAAACTGATTATTATAACTGATCACGGATCTGTCAGTGTAAAATGTCTCTCAACCCTCTAACTGCTACATCTGCAGAACAGCTTGTTATTTTGAAAAACAACTGACTTACTATAGTTCTGAGCAAGTGTTTGAGATGCATGATATAGGTAGATGATGGGAAGGAAGAAGTTTAATAAACAGACTGGGGTAAAGCTATTTCCAGTGCTGGCAGGGAGGGAGAAAGAGAGGGGGCAGGGAGAGAGAGGGGGGGGACAGGAAGGGAAAGGGAAAGAGAGAGAGAAGAGAGAGAGGGGGGCAGGGAGGGAGAGAGAAAAGAGAGGGGGCAGGGGAGAAGAGAGAGGGGAAGGGGGAGAGAGAGAGGGCAGGGAGAGAGAGAGGGCAGGGAGGGAAAGAGAGAGTGCAGGAAGGGGATCGGGAAGGAAGAGTGCAGGGAGAAAGAAGGGGGGTAGGGAGAGAGAAGGGGCAGGGAGAGAGAGAGGGGGGCAGGGAGGGAGAGGGCAGGGAGAGAGAGTGGGCAGGGATGGGGGGGGGGGGGGGGGGGCAGGGAGGGAGAGAGGGGCCAGAGCCAAGCTCAGTGATGGAGAAAAACTGAGGGAAAAGAGGAACATTGGAATTCTAGTCAGTACCACTGTGCAAAAGTGTATTAGCTTTGGAAGAATAAATCACCTCTAATGTTGGGTGTCCTACATGTCTGAATGTTGCTGCGTTTATATAAAGTTCTTAGAATAGTTTTTCACATTTTTGAATGGGGTAGCCTTTTAAAAATTAGGGACAGTCTTGAGGCACCCCATTTTAGAATGGGGTGCCTCAAGACTGTCCATAATTTTAAAGGGTGCCTCGGGACTGTCCATAATTTTAAAGGGCGCCTTGACTGAAAAAAGGTTGAGAAACATTGCCATAGGTGGATCAGATCTCGGCCATCCCTTGTTGAACTGGACAAGATTCAATCCATTTATGGCCTGCCTAATTCTCAGCCCTACTATACCAGGAATTACATGATGATACTATACACAGAATGTTATTTATACTAAGCCTATTGTAGCCCTGTCTGCAGCTCTGGTAGGAAAAAAACTCAGGGGGGGATTTACTAAAATTGGTGCACTCAGAATCTGGTGACCCTGTGCATGGAAGCCAATCAGGTTTGAAATTCAGCTTGTTCAAAGAGGCTTTGACAATAAAACCTGGAGGTCTATTGGTTTGTATGCAGAGCTGAACTAGATTTTGCACTCTCCACATTTAAGAAATAACTCTGTGTCTGTGCTGCAGAGGAGACTTTCACACAAGCACAGTTTAGGGAAGAGACACGGGATGTGGAATGCAAGGACTGTGGGAGGTGTAGTTTTGACAAACTGAGCTGGCTTGGTGAGCTGGAAAGAAGATGACTGGCAGAGAAACTAAGGATGGGAGTGGACTGCTGTACCTGAGTGAGAGACACAGTGACATCCAGGGGCGGACTGACAACTCATGGGGCCCCCGGGCAATAGGGGATGAAGGGGCCCCTGTGTCTTTGCCCAAACTCAAAAAAGCCTATGAAAAAGGTACCAGGGGCATCTCATGGGGCCCCCTACTGACCCCGGGCCCTCGGGCAGTGCCCGAGTTTCCAAATGGTCAGTCCGCCCCTGGTGACATCTATTCTGGAACAACAGAGGTTGCTCTGGATGCTGGTTGAGCCTACAACCTAATTGAGGATCCAGACACTGAGAACACTGAGCAGGTTATCTTTGCCAATGAGCAGAAGGAGATCCCCTGCTGACACAGAATGGTGAGAAGCTGCTAGCCAACCCTGAAAAAAAAATAATAATAAATGCACATTTTTTTTACCTGCAAAGTGATGTGCTTTTATTATTTTTTTTTAAAGGTGAACTTATCCATTAACTAGTTGTGTCATTCCTGGTGTCTATGCACCCAGAACTTTTTGGGCATATATGCATCTACCTCCAATAAACATTCCCAGCCCAGCCAGATGCACAGAGTTGTGGGCATAAGAAAAGGGGACCCAATACATCAATCGGCTCCTCCAGGGGTAAGTGCTACACTATTAACCTCCCTGGCAGTATTCCCGAGTGTAGCTCGAAGTAAAGTTTCAGTACCACAAGCGGTAACCCCTGAGTTACACTCTGGCTTACCATGCCTTGCTGCTCCGGGATCCCTCGATCACTTACCTTGTCCTGCGCTCCCGCGATGTCCCTCCTGCAGTGTCCCCGGCAATGTAATCCGGCGGATGCCAGCATCTGTCATCTGGGTTCTGTCCCCTGCAAGCATTGGGACAAACAGGGGACGAACGGCGGGAAATTTGAAAATGACAAAAAGTGACATTCACTCAATACACTAAAATCACATAGTAAAACATTACTGTTTTAAACCATTTCACATACATTTTGTCCTGTGCCCTGCCTGCATTTGTACCGTTCTTTCTGCCTGGAAACTGAGAAACATCTATGGTGTCCAAAAAGTGTCCCTTTAGGTCAAAACCTGTTTTAGACCAGCTAGAGAACAGCGATAGTAAATCAGAACCACTTGCAGAATTGAGTGATAATGATTCGTGGGGAAATTCGTCATCAGACACTGAAAACGATTCTGCAACTTTGCTCAGCGATGTGCAAACTTGGCGCTATATTTCAAATTTCAGTGTTTTTGGTTTGATTATATTATTGAATTAAATTTATTATTATTATATTATTATTATTTATGATTATTTATTAAATTATAATTTATGATTTTGTGTTTCAAGTTTTATCCTACCCAGGATGTTTACTAGACTCTTGTTCGGACAGATTTCAGTGAGTTATTCCTAAAAATTACAGGACCTACAATAAAAAAAAAAACATATTTCCATGCAAAAAAAGTACCGCTTTGAGCACAGAAATATGGACATAATCATACCGCTAGGGAGGTTAAAACTCAAATAATGTGTAGCGCTTCCCCCTTGAGAGCCACTGGTTTTTGGTCCCCCTATTTTCCTGCATGGCCAGGCAAAATGCATTTTCCAACTGTTATTCAGAGTCAATAACCAGTCCATGGGTTTGTTTTTTGTTGTTTTATTTGAGTATAAACAATTTGGCTAGAGTCCGGGGGTAAATGGGATGTCCAACTTGACTTGAAACTAATAACTCTGAGGACAAAATTCACAAAATGTAGGATCATGGACTTTCTACTCCCTCCGGAGTGGCATCAGTGTCTTCACGGACTAGTAACTACGTCTCTGTGAGGAACTCTTGGTCCCCTCTAAGTAAACCTCTTTAGACCCCAGCTAGAAACTACCCATCCACCTGGCTGTATTTTGAAGAGTATTCCTTAGCAGTAGAGATTCTAGTATAGCCTTGCAGCACCATCCCAAGGAGAACTGGTTTGGTATAACACCGAACAGCCTTCTCTTCTGTAGACCGCAGTAGAGGTACGCATACTGCTCATGTGTTCTGTAACTCTGGAAAAACTGCTTTCAGGCTTTTGCTGGGCTGATTTCCTTCCAGGCTAACAGGCTGTCCTTCCTCAGTGGACTGTAAGGCAGTGGAGCTCCCTCTGTCAGCTTCCTTTCCTTCCAACCTCCAGCCTGAGGTCAGGACCACCCTTTTCCAGGGCTACACAGCAGCACACCTTAGCACTCCATCTTCCACACAACTCCCCTGCTGGCCAGACTCTCATATTTATGGGCCAGTCTGCCACACTGCCAGGCCTCCTGCCTGGGATTGGTCAGACTACCATGAATATGCAGATCAGCTTCTCCTGGCCTCCACCCACTGGCTTCTAGAAAATTCTCCAAACTACTAGAATCAGGACTGACCTGTAGAGCCCTTCAGCCTGATCTATATTAAATGCTCTGACTCACATCCAGGCTACTAACAACCCTCTAACTACATTCACAAACTATATATACAAGAGGGCGCTACAAACGGTTTTCTTTTTTTTTTTTCACAAAAAACTACCACTTTAAGTACTACTCAATTTACTCAATACATAATATATCCCAAACACCTAAAAACTAAGTGGGACCCCCCACTGCATAAATAATATAAATAATCACCAAAGAACAATTTCAATAAAACACAGGACCTATTCAGAGTCAAAGTATATATATATATATATATATATATATATATATATATATATATATATAGTATATATATATTTTTTTGTAAATCAAATCTCCTTTTACTAAACAAAATTCCTTTTTTAAGTATATTATAACATATACTGTATCAATACATACATTTATTTTTTATTTCTTTTTTTATTACCTCTATCCCCTTACCGTCCTCTCTCTTTTTTCCCACCCATAAGGCACAAATAACAGAATATTATTTAAAACACTTATTTCCTAACCATCAATGACATGACCCAGGACAACAAACAAAAATAAAATAAAAAAACCCTTACACTTGCTCCTATTTCCGGGTACCAGCCTTGTGGAGTCAACCCATCGCTTCCACACTTTCTTGAGCTTATTCGCACATCCTCTTCTTGGATAAGCAAGTTTTCTCTTATTAATGTGTTGTTTACCACTCTTAGTCATTCTGTATAAGAGGCAACTATCCATTTCTGAGCAATTAATATTCTGACCTGGTAGAGCCACTGCAGAATCGCTATCTGTACAGAAAAAGACACTGCCTGCTGTGATATATATATCACAATGCACATAGTTTGGGATCCAGCAAGAGGGGAACCCCAAACACTGTACTTATTGTTTATATCACCTCCTCCCAATACCTATGAAGTTCAGGGTATCTCCGGATCATATGGCTGATTCAATGGTTTTTTTTAACTTTTTTGCATAGAGTTCGACTTTAAAGGATAAGTTCACCTTTTGGACAAAAATAATAAATGCCCATTTTTTTGCAGGTAAAAATATTGCATTTATTATTTTTGTCCAAAGGAGCCTGGAAAGCATTGCACCAGCGATCATTTGATCGCTGATGCCATGCAGGTCTCCTGCAGACCTGTCAGAATATCTGCTTGCCATACAGGGATGTACGGCCAAGCAGATATTCTGACAGGAAGCTTGAATAAACTACCATGGCGCTCCACTGCACCGCGGTAGTTCACTGAAAACGACAAGACCACAGCCGATAAGGTTGTTCAGATTTGCAGTTCATTCATTCATGGAAGTCCGTGAATGAATGATGTGGCTGTGTGGGCGGAGCTCCCCACGGCCATGCTGTTTTCAAACCTGACAGATAGTACGGGGAAACTTCTCCCTGTATTATCTGTCAAAGGGGGGAGGGGGGGGGGCAGCGGGCACGGCTTCAGCTATGACAACATGTTACATGTTCCACTCTAAAAACCGGTGGAACATGTAACATGTTCCCAAAGGTGAACTTATCCTTTAACAAATATGTGTATACTGCAGGGGCGGACTGACCATTTGGAAACTCGGGCACTGCCCGAGGGCCTGGGGTCAATAGGGGGCCCCATGAGATGATCCTGGTACCTTTTTCATAGGCTTTTTTGAGTTTGGGCAAGGACACAGGGGCCCCATAATCCCCTATTGCCCGGGGGCCCCATGAGTTGTCAGTCCGCCCCTGGTATACTGTATCTGTTGTTAGGGATTTTTCACCATGTGTAATGCAATGCTGGATACAATAACTAAAAGCAAGTCATATACACACAATAGACAGGTAGTCACACACACACACAGGTATGCTGAACCAGGATTTACACCATTAATTATTCTAAGCATGTGAAAGACCACTACCAGATAAACACCTGCCCTGGCACATCATAGCATTCACTTGGCACTCCAAGAAATAACAGAATCCAACTGCAATATTCTTGTACTGTCAAAACCTCCACAGGACACACAGGAGGATATATCTTATATTCATCACAATCTGCATAATACCACACACCAATAATAATCACAGCATTACAGCATGAAATAGACACATCTTTGCCAGGTTTGCAACGCCACTTCTTGTTATCCACTTAAAGTGGAAATTCAGCTAAAATGTAAGTTCCTCTCACTGTTTTTGTCTCCAGGCCTAT